TTACACTCGTATCTCTCGAGAGCCGATTATCATTAATTTTATCTCCTATTTTTCTCATTAGCTCATATAGGGGTGTGAGTATGTTGTGCATTTGTGTAGACAACAAATTCACCATATCGTGGTTACTATGATCCATTTGTTGTCGAAGGGCTATCATGGCTTCATTGCTTATACCCGTGGGTATATAATTACTTTGTCGAACCAACGACCCTTCTTGGCTTGTGCCAACATGCTGGTGAGGATCGTGCATGATAAAGCCCATCCCATTTGGGGCTGCATTATACCCATATGATGATATTTGCATTTGAGGATTGTGCCCAGAATATGGCATTTGCATTTCTACACTCATGGGCTGGGTACTTCTCCAATTCGGAGGCATCCCCCGTGGGTATTCGCGGGTAGCGTTCACCATTTCTTGTGACGCATTCAGAAATCCCGCGGAGTTTGGAATATTTACAGGAGGTGGAGACATTGCCCCCTGGTCTCATTTGGCACATTTTCTTGATTTGTATTCCGATTTTCTCCATTACCCTGTTCTTCATTAAGCGCATCTCTTCTACTGGATGTAGACATAGTTCTCCCACTTCTAAGTCTCATAAAAATAGAAACACACACAAAACTAGTTCAATTAGTTCAATTAAGTTCACCAAACGTGTCCCACTGGGCGTGCCAATTTGTTTGTGAAGGATTTCGTTCGTAGGTTCTTTTTATTCGAACTAGCACGATTAGCACGTTTCAATTTATGCATGTTCGTAACATGACAGAATCGAAGACTTTTAGTGAAAAATAAATCGTACAAACAACAAATAGAGTTAATTGATTAGGGTGTTGTTTCAGCACATCAGAAGATCTATGCTCTTTGTCTGAGCACGTCAGAAGTGGTCTCTTGTGGATTTGTCCTATAAGCAGGCCTGTTTGGTAGGCTTGCCTTAGGTACAAAATTAATTTGATGTTCTATACCCCTAAAAGGTGGAAGGCCTTTTGGACCCTCACTAGGGAATACATCATCAAATTCTTTTCAAGCACCCCTCAGCCATATAGAAACCATTGAAGGCTTTTTGTTGACATTTTGCATAAATATCACCAAAATTGAGATCTTTCTCATTCAATTCCTTAATATTATTGAATCCAAGAATTTGAGTTCCCAAAGACACAAGTAAAGTGTGTCTTCTTGATAAGGCATCAGCCACAACATTAGCTTTGCCTTTCTTGAATTTAATAATATAGGAAAATTGTTCAAGAAATTCTAACCATTTGGCATGTCTCTTATTTAACTTACTTTGACCTCTTAAATATTTGAGTAACTCATGGTCACTATGGATTACAAACTCTTTGGACACTAGATAGCGTTCCCAAGTTTGCAAAGCCCTGACCAAAGCATACAACTTCTTATCATAGGTGGGGTAATTGAGGGAGGCACCCTTTAGTTTTTCACTAAAATAGGCAATGGGGTGCCCTCCTTGCAACAACACAGCCCCTATACCAATACCAGATGCATCACATTCTAGCTCAAAAGTCTTGTCAAAATTTGGAAGAGCTAATATGGGAGTATTGGTGAGTTGGTGTTTCAAAAGTTGAAATGCTTTGTCATGTTTATTAGTCCATTCAAAAGGAACATCTTTTTTTACAAGTTCATTCAAGGGTGAAGCAATGGTAGAGAAGTTAGGCACAAATCTTCTATAAAAACTTGCTAGCCCATGAAAAATCCTAACTTTACTAACATTCTTTGGTTTTGGCCACTTTTGAATGGCCTTGATTTTCTCGGGATCTACTCGAACCCCTTCTTTATTAACAATGAACCCTAGGAAAACCATATGATCCACACAAAAGGTACATTTTTCAAAATTAGCAAACAAGTGGTTTTGCCTAAGGATCAACAAAACTTCTCTAAGATGCCCTAAATGATCATCTTGAGACCTACTATAGATTAATATATCATCAAAATAAACAACCATAAATTTACCTATACACTCTCTCAAGACATGATTCATAAGTCTCATGAATGTACTTGGTGCATTGGTTAAGCCAAAAGGCATAACTAGCCACTCATACAATCCAAATTTAGTCTTAAAAGCAGTCTTCCACTCATCACCCTCTTTGATTCGTATTTGGTGATATCCACTTTTAAGATCTATTTTGGAAAATATATTAGCACCATGTAGTTCATCAAGTATATCATCAAGTATAGGAATTGGGTGCCTGTACTTGATGGTGATGTTGTTAATAGCCCTACAGTCACAACACATTCTCCATTTTCCATCTTTCTTAGGGACTAACAAAACAGGCACAACACAAGGACTCAAACTCTTTTGTACCCAACCCTTGTCCAATAATTCTTGAACTTGGTTCTCTGTTTCTTTGGTCTCTTGTGGATTTGTCCTATAAGCAGGCCTGTTTGGTAGGCTTGCCTTAGGTACAAAATTAATTTGATGTTCTATACCCCTAAAAGGTGGAAGGCCTTTTGGACCCTCACTAGGGAATACATCATCAAATTCTTTTAGTAATTGTGTGATACCAAGTGGTAGAGAACTAGGTTCAAGATTTAAATTATGACATTGAAGCACACTATAATTATAATATAATAGAAAAATAATTTTAAAATATTATTTTTATTTTTGCAAAAAAAATAATATTTTTTTACGGGTACGGGTATGGATATACCCGATACCCGACAGAGACGGAGATGAGGATGAAAATCACATACCAACGAATACGAGTACAGGTACGGGAATGAGTTTGTGTTACGGGGACGGGGTCGGGTATCATAAAACCCGTACCCGACCCGCCCCGTTGCCATCTCTATGTAACCCAACCCGCCTATTGCCATCCCTACCTATAAACATCATCAAACATTAGAGCCTTCGTTTATATGCTTTTCTGAATTGGAAACTTCACCACCTTAGCCTTCCTCTTGATTTTGGAGAAGACAAGAGGGACTTCGTCCATGTTGGAGTCAGAGACTTTGGTCTTCCTCTAGCATAACAACTCATTTTACGGATCCAGCACAAAAGCTTATTTTTGGACTTGTGGATGCTGTTAAAATAGATGATTTATTGAAGAGGGAAGTGAATCGAATCTTTTTTGAAAAATATTTTTTCGCTTGAATCATTTAAAAAGTTTTTCTTAAGCCACCACCAAGCAATTGATCACAACAGCAAAACAACAATTAAATATCAATTCTTTCATGCAATGCGAAATGAAATGACAATTAAATTTACAAGAATTGAAAAGGAGAGAGAAGAGCACTAAGATTTATACTAATTCATTTTCAACCTTTGAGAGTTACATTCAATCCTCGGCAACCTACTTAGATTTGTTTTCCACTGTAATTATAATATTCTTACGATCAATTTCACACCAAAATTGATCAAGATTTTTCTCCAAACCTGTGAGAAATCTTCCCCAACACTTGTTCAAATGAAAACCCTATTCCCTTAGAACAAAACCCTTAAGAGAAATCATATCCCCAAAGATAAAAAAAACAACACCCTCACACCAAGGTGGTACAAGAAAAAATATCATCTTAATTTGTAGATTCTTCAACCTTCTCACCTTTTAGAAATACATGAATTGTTCGAAGATAGATAATGATCAATATGGAATTTGTGAAAAGTGCTCTCTCTCTCTCTCTGATCACAAGATGTTTAATAATGCTTGAATATTTTTCAAAGAGACTAGAAAGTTATATTTCTAATAAAAGATTTTCTCATAGGTTTTGAAACAAGTTCGGAGCATTCTAGATGATCACTTTAATTGATTACAAGGTATATTAATCGATTACTCAATCGATTACTCTAGCACAAAATCTTCCCAACACTTGTTCAAATGAAAACCTTATTCAACTTAGAACAAAACCCTTAAGAGAAATCCTATCTCCAGAGATAAAAAAAAAAAATAAAATAAAATAAAAAAAAAAACGACACCTTCACACCAAGAATACACGAAAATATATCTCCTTAATTTGTAGACTTCCCACTATACAATTCTTCTACCTTTCACCTTTTAAAAACACATGAATTGTTCAAAGATAGATAATGATTGATCTGAAATTCATGAAAAATATTCTCTCTTTGATCACAAGATGTTTAGTATAAACATGCTGGGACATTTTTCAAAGAGACTAAAAAGATATTTATAATAAAAGATTTTTGTGCCAAAGTAATTGATTGATATACCTTGTAATCGATTAAAATGATCATTTAGAATGTTCCAAACTTGTTTTAAAACTGTAACAGATTAATCCACGATATAATTGATTAAAATAACAAGGGGTATTTTTAGTGAGAGTTAAAATAATAGATTATAAAGAAATTGTAATAGATTAAAATGTTCTTCAAAATATAATCCAAAAACTCTCAATTGTATTTAATCAATTAAAATAAAGCACTATATTTCTATTAAAAACCAAACAAATCTTTTGTAATCAATTAAACCATAATTAAAACATAAACTAACCATCTTTCCAGAAAATACATTTTATGTTATGAGTAACCATGAGGGATTTTATGTCCAGTATCCCAATCCTAATGGCTAGTGGCTTAGGTTATATTAGGCAGGCTTTTTGACACATCATTTTTATTACATCTATCCATAAGTTGAATAACAATGCATGCTTTTAAGATAAATGCTAGGGACACATGCTCTGATTGGTAAAAAATTTATTAAAAAATATAAAATATGATGAGTCTCATCCTATTTAATGTCTCTCCCATTCATCTAATTTTGTATTTTTCAATAAATTCTACTCAATAAGAGAAAGTGTGTTAGAAAGTGTTGTTAACACTCCTCTGCTTTTAATCACTAGCCATTAGTTACACCCCATTGTTCTCAGTAATTCTTTTCTTAAGTGTAAGCACCTATTATTTACATTTGAGTAACAATTTAGACTACTTTAATAGTAACATTTCATATACAACCGTTGCTTAACAATGAGGAACTACCTACAGATGCTCTAACAATTTTATGAGGCAAACTTAAGAAGATCCAAATAAGATTTTTCACCTTGAAAATTTAAACGACAAAGGGTAAGAGAAATTTATATGGATCAATAAATACATATCAGGCCTATGTTATAATCATTTCGTCCCTTTTCTTTTTCTTCTCTTGCTTTTTCAATATTGATCGATAAATATCGAAGACTATTGGACCTGTTTCCCTCAATTAGGAGATACAAATGAACTCCACTGTGTACGAAGTGAACAAAGTTGATCATGCTCAAGGGTGAGACGGAATTTTTTAAAACTAAGAACAAACAAGGGCAGAAAATAATGCACCAGTGAATGGCCTCATTGGAAAAAATTCCGGAAACCGTTGAATATTTTTAAGGCCCTTAATTCACCAGCTCTTATGTCCCTCAATTTTCTTCGCAGTATCTGCAATTATTATTAAAAGCATCCAGTATTAGAAGCATATATTGTGAAAGAGTCATATACTATCTTTGTTGTGTTGTGAAATTACATAAAGAGTCATTATATTCATACATTCAGCTTCTCTTACAATTCACTTTCACCTCATTTTTCTGTTTATCTCTCTTTATTTTCAATCACATTATTTGTTATATCTATATGTCAGTCTCTCTCACTCTCTGTCTCTCTCTCTCTTCCCTCAACTCATACATGTTGGGGTTATTTTATAATATTTGTATGAGGAAATATTTTATAAAGGTTATAACTTTATTATTTTTATAAGGTTATTTCACACACATCTCTACAATGATGAGATATTATCCGCTTTGGGTTATGCCCTCACGGTTTTTCTTTAGTTATCACCCAAAAGGTCTCTCAATCATTAGAGTATGTATGTACTTTATAAGTTGTTATTTCTTATCTTATTTTATCGATGTGGGACCTTATTTGTTTCCCAACAATCTTCCCCTCAAAAAAGGGACCTAACCTTTCGTGTAACGGAATCTGTCTTTGTATATAACATTATCACTTATCACTTTATAAGGATTATAACTTATTGGTTGTCACCAAATCCAACGCTTTGATAATTTTATGGTATTTGTTTGAGGAGATATTTTGTAAGAGTTATAACCTTGTTATTTTTATAAGGTTATTTCACACGCAACTTCACAATGATGAGATATTGTCCACTTTGGGCTAAAACCCTCACGGTTTTAACTTTTAGTCATCACTCAAAAGGCCTCTCAGTCATTGGAGTATGTGTGTTTTATAAATTGTTATTTCTTCCATTATTTATTGATGTCGGACCTTGTTTGTATCCCAACAATACACCAAAAAATAATGTGTACATTTAACATTTTTCTTACAAAAGAAAGCATCAACCTAATTTGGAGGTTTGTTATTTACTTTTTGGTATTATTTGATCATTTTATTTCAAATCATCATTTCCTCGGAGAAATGTAAAAGCTTACATGCTTGATAGTATTCCTGGCTATCACTGCTAGGCAAGTGTGGGCCCCGGCCCCTCCTTCCTCAATTTTTTTTAAAAAGAATATTTAGTACATTTTTAGTTCTTTTATGAACATAAATTCTATAATTTTCAATTTAGTTTGTTCACTTTTGATCCCTCAAATGAATTTTGGATCATTCCCTATGATAACAGGAAACCACAGAATATATGGGATTGGAATTACTTGGGGTGAGGGAATGCTTTTCATGTTTATTTGGACAGTGAAGAAGAGATGTCTGTACATTAAAATGTTGAGTGGTTTGAGAAAGAAGCACAAAGAAGCTACAACCAAGTTCTATACTGACTTTAGTTTAAACAACCAGCAATGTTATGGATCATGGAATGTAGAAATTAAAAAGATATGATTTATAAACTTACATATTGAGCACGAAATAATATCCTTCGCTCGCTAGTACACAAGTCCACAGCTAGCTGTTTCAGAAAGAGCCTTCGGTTGAGTAATTTAGGAGAAGTAACATCCAAATCCAGTGATCCACTTGCCTGTCAGAAACATATTCAACACTCATTCATGATATATTGTGATTGCCATGCAGGTAAAAGGGAAACGGCTAGGATTAACTCATTTGATGCTCACAACTTGATAAATCAGCTTTTTAAATTTAAACCATGGCTATCACAAATATAAAATAAAAAGACAGATTCCTTTTCAAAGTGTTTTCTTGCCTGTAAAAACTTATTGTATTTTGATATGCTGGATTCGCAGCTATCTAGTATGAATTGCAATGCTTGCTCCTCTATTTCAGGATATCTTAAATCCTTCTTGGTGGTGGTATTATTTGATGCTGCAGCAGCCATCTGTTAAAAGAATCAATCATAGGGTTATACAGCATCCAAAGAATAATTCTCAAAGATTGTTAAAAGTGTCAGACCTCTTCAAATTTTCCCCTCATGCTTGAAGGACTAACAGCTAAATAAGCATAAGCCATTAATTCCAATGGCCAACCAGTAATCTGTATAGGAAAACACTGAGATCTGATAAAAATAGAACAAAGAAGTTAGTAACAGGTTCATTTCAAGCATACTTCATAATAATATCTCAAGGGCATAGCAGATTAGAAAGAAATAATAATGTTTCCCGTCTGAGGATATAAATCCTAAATTAATCAAGGAAGAAGGTAGGTGATACGTGATAGGGGCTTGGGTATTATGAGGTGCTTAAGTCCCACATTGAGTAGTATGAGATGCTCGGTGAAGTATTTAAGTGGTTTGGTTCTCTCCCTTAACAATTAGCTTTCAGGGAAGGCTACCCCTTCAAAACAGATTTCTTTATTGATTAAGTGCATCTTTAAAAAGAATTCCCTGATATTCAAAAGATTCAGGCCTATCCCTAGTCCTAGTTCACCAAATGACTCCCCCTTGTTCTCAATTCCCCTTTGATAGAAACCAAATTTAATAGAAACACAAAATATTATTGATTTTAAAAACACAAAACTATTACAGAAGATTACCCTGTAATCCCAGAGCTACTCCTCGGAGAAGAGATAATTCTCTCTCTGCCCAATCCATAAGATTTCATACAGAAAATATACTTCCTTTCCTCCTTCCTAGCCATATCCTCTCCCTATATATGTATTGCCTCCCCTAACTAACTGGCCACATCAGCAATTATAGCTAATTCTCTATTTAGCCCACTTGTTGGGCTAAGGCCTTTAGGCCCAAACTCAGTATCCTATCACCTTTCCTATTCATAGGCAGCGACTGAACTGCTAACATAAACCCACTCTCAATGGGCCTAATCAGTTGCAGGCCCATTAACATAACCCCTTGTATTTCGTAGACTAACTAACATAACTACTAATGGGGGTTACCTAACAATATGCAATAACTGGTCAAGGCTATTTTGAAGTATGGACACTTCTACAAAGTACCTCACATGCTAAAACGATGGAAATACAAATTTTATGATATTTTCAACAGCTTAGAAAATTGACATTTTGCAAGTGCAACAAGAGTCCCTAATGAAACAACATATGTTGAAAATGTCAATTGATACAAAGTTGCAGTGAATGCTTTGATAGAAATATTAGGGTATAAAATAAAATAGGAAGCATATAGGTATAAGGTACTCACGCTGATAATCCATATTTCTTCAACAGTTCTAGCTTCTCCTTATAGGAAGCATCAGATTTCTTCAGCGATAGTGACAACTCAACTGAATCACTAGGATTAGCGCCTTCCTTTGGGACAAATCCATAAGATAACAAAAGCTCCCCATTTGATTTTTTTCCATATGAAATAAACACCTGCGTAATTTGATGCAGGCAATAAATTGCAATCTCTGAATTTAAATCAAATGACTATGAGAAGAACTAAATGTCAATGGTGAAGAATATCACCTTCAAATACAGCTCCAATCAATTAATACTTTATTTTTAAGGCAACATGGCAAAGTGCAGAGATTTAATTAATTTACTCATGCATATAGCTTAGTGCACTTTGGCAAAGAACAAGGAAGTCATTTACTTGGCCCGCATTTGTTTTCTCGCAAGTTAATTTAATTTAGCAGATTCCAATCTGCCAATTTATGTTTACCTGCTCACCTGGTTGATAGGGCCGATCTGTCATGAAGACAATTCCCTTTGACGTCTTATCATAATCCAAAAATGTCTCCACCTAGATAAGTGAAAACTAATCAGATTTAAACTTCCTACGGTAGTTGTTAGGAATGTTAATCTTTTTTCGAAAACAGCATACATCACAACTATGATTCAGCATATCAGCCCAAGGAACCAAAGCAACCTTTCCATCCATTGAGGGTAAACGAACCTGCATGATACCAAGATCATGAATGATATGTGCCAAGCCAACAAGCAACCATTTGTCTTAAATATGAAACAACAAAACTAAGTCTCCATGAGTTGAGTGATTAAAAAGACTACAAATAAAGAAGACAGAAAAATAAGAAAGTTTATTTTTGTATTGGAGAAATATTGCAAATAAACAATTATGTATTCTCCCATGGATTACTTTTCAAATGTTGCAATTTTGGGAACTATTTTTTCAGACCTTACACATTTCAGTATTTGTTGTTTAGTTTTGGACCTTTACTCTTTTTCAAAATCAGCTCTGTTATGAATTAATATGGAACTGTCTGTGCATGGAACTTATATAGAAAATATGGAATTCTCAGTAATTACACTTGAGTTGTGCAGAAGAGGCAGAGAATGGAATTTAATTTGGTTTCATGATATACCAGGTTGACTCACCAAGCGGGAGAAAAGAATACCAAATGACCATTTGAAGGACTCTATGTTGAACACCTGAAAGTTATACATAACATATTCAGAGCATCACTATGTGACTGAAACAAAAGATGGGTTTTCATGAAATATTAACTTTCCTCCCATGTTTAATGTAAGATAATTACCTCATCAGGGAATAAATCAGGGTATTTGGAAAATATTCTGAGCCTCAAATCATTGTATCTGAAGAAAGGGAAGTAATTATGGCAAGAAACGGGATTATTCAATCAAAAAAGCACATTTGATTGAGGATAAATACCAAAAAAGAGAAATATTAACAGACAACAAATCCCTGAAAAAGAAATTAGATACAAACAATTGATCCATACGTTCCAATAACATTATTAATCCTTTCAATTGCTCTCTCCCTAATTTGTGAAGCTTCCAAATAGCGATCTAGTTCTGCTTGTGACCTGAAATGACAGAAGAGCCCCTCTTGTAAAGGTTTAAGTTAGGAAAATGACAACAAAGAGAAAACAGTAAAGTATAAACCACGGGGCACAGACAAGTTTTTATTGAAATCAAAATGATACTTTTAGAAGAGATGTAATGTATAAATATTAAATTAAATACATGGGATGTTCTAATTTTGTCTTCATTTTCATTTCATTTTGGATAGGCCTATATTGGGAAAATTATTGAAAAATAATGTCCTCGTTTCCATTTCTCCCATATTGTCCTTAGCAAAGTTATATAACATTTCAAGACCTAACTTCCTCACTCATCAATATTGACTTCTCTCTTCCTTCCCAAACAAGCTCTCAAAAGATTTCATCACAAGAACAATTCATCTACCAGTAAAGAAGTGAGTAAGGTTGACGAGGTAAGGCTGATATATAATTGCTCCATCTTGAAGATTCCATTAGGCTAGCTTCACTTATGAGGTAAGTCGCAAGCAAAGGCCAATCTGGCACTGAATTCCTTTTCAATACTTCACCAGCTTCCGAGCAGCTCCACTCCTAACAACCAGAATACAGACACACCAAACAGATACATAAGCAAGTAACTGACCGAGATTCACATGATAAATCAACCGAATATAACCACACAAATTCAGTAAAGATTTTTTACAAGTTTCTGTTTCCAATATTGATAAAACAACATTTTACTGAACACCGGATATAAAATAACAAGCAATGCAAATCAAGTATGATTGTTCTTCATAATCATACAGTATCAAATTGATAAGAATTTTGAATAAAGTAATGCTGTTGACACTGACAATATAGTACACATATAACTGGGGAAAAAATCAGATACAGCACCACAAATACCATACTACTCTTCTCCGATCAAAATGGCCTACATAGACATAAAATACAACTTTAATTACTGAGATGAAATTGATGAAACAAACTTGTTTGGGAAACAATATTATCTACGATTTGTCCACATAACTATCTACTACCTCCATTCCATATCTATTGATGTCTAACAGGGATGTGCCAAAATACTGAACCGAACCACTCCAAAAAACTGAACAATAAAAACCAAATAGTTTTGGAAAATGTCAAATCATTCTCACGAAATGGTTTGGTTCGGTTCTTTGAAAAAATCAAACCATGCACGGGTGTGAAAAAGAAAAACTACTAAAAAAAACAAACTACTTTTTTACAGTGGTTCGGCTTGGTTTTTTCCGAACCATTCACAGGTTAATGCTCCATATTAAGAAGCACTTAATTGATTTAAATTATTGTTTTTCAAACTAAAATATTCTTATTTAATATCATTACTTTTACTTGTGATAAATTATTGAGGAGTGCCACCACGACACTCACTATTACACTCCTTTTTCTTTGTAAATCAAGGGATCTCTTAATCTAAAGCTAAGAACTAATCCTCTAAGGTATTGAAATCTATTTAAAGAGTTGATTTCTCCCAATAAGTGTTTTTCCATACACATCGAACATCGATCGAACCCTAACCGCATGCTTAAGAGACAATGTTATCTATCAATCATGTCACACATTATTGGTTTATTACACCCCTTCTAACATGATCTTCATTATTAGTTTTTCTTTTTTTTTGTAAAGATAGGAAAGATTATAAAGATGGTCACAATAAAAATTGAACCTAAGTCTTCATGCTTCTAACTACTCCAACTCGCCCTATCCAACCACTAGGCTAACCCTAGTGGTTATCTTCATCATTAGTTTAAATCTATTGAAAACTAAATATCATGAGTAAAACTCATTAAATTAGACATAGGATCCACAAAATTTTGTAATTTCTAATAAATTTCAGTACATAACAAAGAATGTGCTGCTAGCATAAACTAATTATTGTAGGCCTTTTAGCAATTGTTAAACAAGAGTACACGTGAAAATAAAAAATTAACAAAAATTTACATTTATAAAGCATCAATCATTTTTGGGAAAAAGAAAAAAAACAGAAGGAAAAAGACTAAACTTAAACAATTGAATAAACTATACTTACCTATAACCTGATTCAGTGTACACAATTTTTAGACAATTTTATCCTTATAACAACATTCAAATTTCTCATTCTCACTAAATCTCACCCACTATTTTTTTTATTTAATTTATATATATAAAATCTCTAACTAATTAATAATCACTTTTTCTTTTATAAATAACAGAATCACGTGGCACCAGGGTGACAATAACAATTGAATAAACAAACATGATTGAATTTTGCACTAGAATTAAACTAATGCGAGGCAAAGGGAGAAGAGAGATACAGAATCTGGAGTTATGACAAGTGAGGGAGGCACAAAGAGCAGCTTCTCCCCTTTCCTAATGTTCTTCAAAGCAACGAGTCCTCTCTCGCCCACATCCACTCTCTCTATGCCCATCTTCTGCGGTGGCAGCCCCGAGTCTGAGAGCCACCGCTGCAACGCCGAGGCGTTCTCCAAGGAGTCAATTTCGCAGCCCCAAGGCACCGACGCTTGGGTGGCACCTGCGGACACTGAGCAATGGACTTGGTGCTTGCGTGACACTCTTAGGTGGCGCTCTCCCCAATGGCTTTTGGGGCTGAAACAGGGAAGCAGAGCAGAATACAACATGATTCTTGAACACTCGGCCATGTCCCTCCACTGCCTTACCTTATCTGCAAAACAGACTTAAAAGACAGTTGCTACTACATCCTACTAGTTTGAGTGGCACCACACCCAGCTTAGAACCAATAAAAAAAAAATACAGCTTAATTACATTTTTATCCATGAATATCACAATTGATTCGTGAAACAATTTTTGTGATCAGTCAATTTTTAAAATCAATAAAACTGACTTAAAAGTGTGATTTTTTTTTTCGTTTTTTCATTAATAAATAGATAATTTAAATAATTAATTTACTTTTTTTATTATTAAATGTTAGTTCAAATATTTTAAATTATTCTATAAAAATTAAAATAATTTTGAAAAATATAATAAAATTTTATTTGTAGGAATAAAGAAAGATTTTGTGAATTTTTTTATTTAATTTATTTTCCAAAATTTACATACAAATATGAAAAATCTCAATTTATTATGACTTAAAATATATAAAGAAATATCCTTAGTAAATTCAAATGTTTTATGTAATATATATATATATACATATATATATATATATATGTGT